ACATGAATAACAAATATTGCAGGCGCACCGTGGCGTTCTCCAGCATTGTGGCCGGTATGTTTAAATGCAGCCGTGAGGACGGATAAGTGACCTATGTGTGAAAGAGGCTGAATGACAGACTGCCGTCCCTTTAACAGATTCAGTAACCTAGCAATGTTCCATGTGGCATGTCTGAAATGGGCTAAAGGGTAACCCTCAAACAACCCTTTAAAGGTGTGCCAGAAAATATTATTCTCACTTCACAAGTCCAGTCGCATTAGAGTTTTCTGATTGAAAATATTTATTAGATAATGTTGAATAATGTCCTGCTCTTACTAACATGGTGTGACTTCAAACTAAATCCAATAAGTATTTGTAAATACTGATAAACTTGTGTCTAAGTATAATCGAAAGTATGTCTGTCTACAAAATTACAGGTTGTACGAATTCTGGCATCTGGGAAGGTCAAAGTAAACGGCATTCATTCTCAGCTTCCGCTGTTTACATGTGAGTTACTTCAAATATTATTTTCCATCTTACAGAACACAGACAACATACCACAAAAACCTGAAAAAGGCTTTAAAGTCAGTTCATATTTTTTTCAGTGTGCAGAGCTAAAAATAACATGATTAGAATTTTGAATTAGTACTGATGGCATGGATGCAGAGAGATGCATAAACCCACATAAAGATCAGCAGATAAGCAAAACAATGGCTGCAATCTAAGAGGGAGAGAAATCTCAAGCCACATATTTACACACATCATTACATGCATATTTCTGTAACTGGACAAACTGCTTTAACACTGAGTTTTTTTAATGTCTTCTGACCGCTACAGCTGGACTGAGTGTCTTTAGGCAGTCTTCCTTCTATATCTACGTAAGCACCAATGTGGGAATACAAGCAATGGTCCAGTTATCCCCCGTGATGCAGGTGTTCATTTCAGCTGATACGTTCCTCAAAGGAACAACCTCTGGTATGCCTCCACATTATTGTTTCAGTGTCTGGAAAAGGCTTCTGCCAAATGTTTATGTTCCACTAAATCTTGCATTTACCAGTATCTACAAATGGATCAGTCAGTGTAGGAATTCTTCAGCTGTCATTAAAGGTTTGTGTGTAATTAGGTGTCATCTAATCCAACAGGTTTGTGTGGGAACTTCAACGACAAAGTGATTGATGACTTCCTGGTGCCGAGTGGACTGGCAGAAGGCACTGCTGCCACGTTCGCCGATATTTGGAAAGCCAGAGCCAATTGCGCTGATGTCAAAAAACACTTTGATAATCCCTGTAGCCAGAGCACAACCACGGGTACAGATAATGCCTCTCCTCCATGAGTTTTCATATCCTATCATGTAAAATGTGTAATGTTATATAATATTATTTAAAAGACAACCATTACACATTTTAGAAATCATCTTGCCATTTTAATAGCACGCAATGTTTTGGAACTAATTAATTTCTGCATGTGTTTGTGTCTTAGAAACTTATGCCCGGTACTGGTGTTCCAAACTAAGCGATCCCAACGGAGAGTTTGCTTCCTGCCACTCTGTCATTAGCCCTAACAATTACAAAGACGTAAGTTTGCCCACACAGTCTTCAAAGGCAAGTACACTAATAGACTCCTGTTAATCTCACCATGCCTACTGTGTCTTCCCAAAGAACTGCATATATGACACCTGTAACTGCGAAAAAAGTGAGGATTGCATGTGTGCGGCAGTCTCGTCCTATGTCCATGCCTGTGAAGCGGCAGGAGTCCACATCAGTGACTTCCGTGACTGGAGGAAAACTGTTTGCGGTAAGTAAAACTTAAAGGACACCTTTGTTTTGCTTTTCTAAAAGAGAGAGGCTGGGTTTGTAAAAGCTGTTCACGTGCTACACCAGCAAGATAAAGATGCACACTTCAAGAGATTTTAAATGACTGATTCATAGCGCTAGTAAAGCATAGTGATTCAATATGGTAAAAATGAGAAGAAAAAACAGTTAAGCACATGACACACAAAAGTTTTGGTTTTGTACTGATATATCTAAATTGGCATGATAGGGACAGTACATCAGTACTAACATATCTATCATATCAATTTACTCTACCTACATTAACCAGCAGATTCCTCTAGAAGAAATATTCTCTCACTACCACTCATATCTCCCAACAGGAAAATTTCAAGCATGTCCAGCAGAAACAGTGTATTCCTACAACATGACCTGCTGCCAACGTACTTGCCGTTCCCTCAGCCAGACTGACTATTCCTGCCAAGCCAACTCCATCCCAGTGGATGGTTGTGGCTGTGCCGAGGGAACCTACATGAATGAGGAGGGGCGCTGCGTGTCCATTGACAACTGTCAATGCTACAGTGAAGACAACATTCTTTCTGCTGGAGAGATGATCAGCATAGGCAGCACCACATGGTAAATACAGAATACAGGGTTTAAAGTAAAGTTACCTTTCACTTTCACAGGCACAAATGTCACATTTCCTGGGAAAGTAGTTTTCTTCTTTAATTTTAACTCAAAGAAGTTTTTTTGGTCTGGTTAGGTGTTGACTAGGTGCAATGTTTGGCTGACACTAAACATTGTACGTCATTGCAAGCATACTAACCCCACCGTGAAGCATGGTGGTAGCATTGCCATGATGTGGGGATGTTTCTCAGCAGGAGGCCCTGGAAGGCGTGTAAAGTTAGAGAGTAAAACGTAGAAGCAGAAAAGTATAGGAAAATCCTGGAGAACAACTTAATGCAGTCTGCAAGAGAACTGGGAGGTTGGAAAAGATTGTTTTTCCAGCAAGACAATGACCCAAAGCATAAATGGATTACGAACAGAAAGGTGAATGTGCTGGAGTGGCAGAGCCCAGGCCTCAGTCCAACTGAGAAATTGAGGCTGAGCTTTAAAAGGGCTGTTATTTATTTTAAATCAGTATTCTGAATGAAACAGTTATTCATTTAAATGAATAATGAGTAAAACATAACATGAAGACATGTTTTTTTATAGCCTAACACTTAATACAAATCTTTAGATTGTAAGGTTTTCCTCCTAATGTTGGTATATACAGAAAGCAAACAAACATCAGTTGAATTTACGTAATGATCACCCTGGATTATAGAGACATCAAGAGTTGGGATTATTTGTTGGATTTCAGAGTCATCATTAGGGTTTGTTTTTTTCTTTGGTTCCTTCCCACTGTTGCTGGCCGCTTGCTCAAATGGAGTCCAAAGGCAACTTTGGTTGGTTTGGTTCTCTGTTCGAATTCGTAAGGTCTTCACCTTCCTGTTAAGCTAAGCACTATGAGATGACATTTGTTTTGAATTACACTATGTAAATAAAATTGAACTGAATTGAATTGAATAGAGGACTACAGAATATAAATGGTACACTTTAAATACTAAAAGTCAGATAAAATGAAAAGTAAGTTAATACAGTGTACTAGGTACACAATAGGGAGTTCTTTTACAAATAACCAAGGCAAAGAAAACAAGCCTCTCCAGATGTATTTTGAGATGGTCACAATGACAAAGTTTCCAAGTGGAGTAACTGACGTTTGTGTGACCGCTCCCAAATCAGATT